CTCACACCTGTTATCCCAACACTTCGGGAGGCCAAGGTGAGAGGATTCTTGAGCCTCAGAGTTCGAGACCAGCAACATGGCAAAACCCCTCCTCTACAAAAAATGATAGCATGGTATGGTATGGTAGCACATGCTTTTGGTCCCAGCTACTCAGGAGGCTAAGGTGGGAGGATCACCTGAGAGCCTGGGAGGTTGAGGCTGCAGTAAACTGCACTCCAGCCTGGGCAACAGAGTGAGACCCTGTCTCAAAAAAAATAAATAGATAAAAGTAATAATTTTTAAATGCATGAGAGTGTCATAAAGTTTCCATAAACTCATTAAAAACTCACTTGATACAGAGCAGCTCTGTATCTTGTCATTTTGGTGTGTCAGTTCAGTCTGAACTAGGAAATTATTTTGTTCCCTTACTCTAAAAAGGCACTTGGCATCAGCTTTGGCATTTCTAGGCCCAGAGGAATTTCATAGGAATAGTCATAAAAATTGGTTAATGAATTACATTCTCAGAAGAAACATAACCTGTGGGTACTGTCAAGTTGTAATAAAGTGTATTTCTTCTGTGGTTTTTGTTTTTTATTTTATATTTTACTTTTAATGTTATTTTAAAATAAAATAGAGATGAGGTCTCACTACGTTGCCCAGTCTGGTTTTGAATTCCTGTGTTCAAGCGATCCTCCTGCCTCAGCCTCCCAAAGTGCTAGGATTACAGACATGAGGCACCATGCCCGGCCTTCCTGTGCACTTTTTGAAATGAAAATAATTGGAAACATGAAGCATATGGCTTCAAAGTGCCAGTTTTCCTGCTTATTGGCCTTTAAACTCAAGTATTCACATATGAAAGATATTTATCTTACCTGAGTAGATGACAAAATTAGGTTAGCTGCCTGGAAGTTTCAGCTCATAGCTCACAAATTACTAAAATTTATGAATATGTTTAGAGATTTCACTGATAAGTTATAAATCAAAAATAAAATTCTAAGGCCTCCCTACCATCTGACTGGACCCCTCGTCTCTGCCAGGGAATTCCAAAATTAATCTGAAAAACTGGTTCAGGCCATAATGGGAAGGGAAGGTCATGCTTTGTTATAACCTCTTAGAATTCAGGAAAAGCCAACCAACATTTAATATTAATACAGACTTTTAAGTCTGATAAGAAACATTTCTCTGTTTCTATTCTATTCTATTCCCTCTGAAATCTGCTACCTGAAGACTTTATCTGCATGATAAAACTTTGGTCTCCACAACCCCACATCATAACCCAGACAATTCCTTTCTACTGATAATAACCAATTGCCAAGAATTTTTTTTTTTTTTTTTTTAAGACGGAGTCTTGCTCTGTCGCCCAGGCTGGAGTGCAGTGGCACAATCTCGGCTCACTGCAACCTCCACCTCCCGGGTTCAAACGATTCTTCTGCCTCAGCCTCCCGAGTAGCTGGGACTACAGGCACCACCACACCTGGCTAATTTTTTGTATTTTTTTTACTAGAGACGGAGTTTCACCTTATTAGCCAGGATGGGCTCCATCTCCTGACCTCATGATCCACCCACCTCGGCCTCCCAAGGTGCTGAGATTACAGGCATGAGCCACTGCGCCTGGCCTGCCAGTCAGAAAGTATTTAAATCTACCTGTAACCTGGAAGCCCCCACCTACCTTCGAGTTGTTTTGCCTTCCCCGACTGAACCAATGTATATCGTCTTTTGTTTCTGTTTTCCCAGGCTGGAATGCAGTGGTGCCATCTCGGCTCACGGCAAGCTCTACCACCTGGGTTCACACCATTCTCCTGCCTCAGCCTCCCGAGTAGCTGCGACTACAGGCACCCGCCACCATACCCAGCTATTTTTTTGTATTCTTAGTAGAGACGGGGTTTCAGCGGGTTAGCCAGGATGGTCTTGATCTCCTGACCTCATGATCCACCTGCCTCAGCCTTCCTAAGTGCTGGGATTACAGGCATGAGCCACTGCACCTGGCTGCTGCTGCTTTTTTTTTATTATTATTATTGTTATTATTAAACAGAGTCTCGCTCTGTCGCCCAGGATAGAGCACAGTGGTGCAATCTCTGCTCGCTGCAGCCTCAGCCTCCCGGGTTCAAGCGATTCTCCTGCCTCAGCCTCCCGAGTAGCTGGGATTACAGACACCTGCCACCATGCCCAGCTAATTTTTGTATTTTTAGTAGAGACGGGATTTCACCATGTTGACCAGGCTGGTCTTGAACTCCCGACCTAGTGATCCACCTGCCTCGGCTTCCCAAAGTGCTGGGATTACAGACGTGAGCTACCACGCCTGGCCAAACCAGTGTATATCTTAACATGTATTTTATTGATGTCTCATGTCACCTTAAAATGTATAAAACTAGGCTGTGCCTCAACCACCTTGGGCACATGTTCTGTGAGGGCCCTCTCACCATGGGCCGTGGTCACTCATATTTGGCTCAGAATAAATCTCTTCAAATATTTTACAGAGTTTGGCTCTTTGTTGACAAGGTAAAAAATTGGGATCTTTTAGTCTTCAATTCTACCTTGAATACACTAAGCCACGTTAAACAATATCACTAAGCTTAAAAAAAAAAAAATCCTTCAAGCCCTTTTCTCTCTCCTGAATATTTCTTTTAATTTAAGAGGGAAATGGTCCCTTTCCCAGATACTAGTTACAATGCTTCAAAATGAAAAGCGACTTATCAGCCAGGTGCAGTGGCTCATGCCTGTAATCCCACCACATTGGGAAGCCAAGGCAAGTGGATCACCTGAGGTCAGGAGTTCGAGATCAGGAGTTTGAGACGAGCCTGGTCAATATGGCGAAACCCTGTCTCTACTAAAAATTCAAAAAATTATCGGTGCATAGTGGGGCATGCCTGTAGTCCCAGCTACTTGGGAAGCTAAGACACGAGAATCACTTGAACCCGGAGGTGGAGGCGGAGGTTGCAGTGAGCCAAGATAGCGCCACTCCACTCCAGTCTGGGTGACAGAGTGAGACTCCATCTCAAAAAAAAAAAAAAAAAAGCTGTCATCATGATTATTTTTATTGGCTGATATTAGTGGTGGAATTTTTTCCATCTGAATAAAAATGAAACGACTCAGAAGGTAGGAGCAGGTAAAAAATAAAGATTAAAAATAAAAACTTGCCGGGCACAGTAGCTCACGCCTATAATCCCAGCACTTTGGGAGGCTGAGGTGGGCACATCACCTGAGGTCAGGAGTTTGAGACCAGCCTGGCCAACATGGTAAAACTCCGTCTCTACTAAAAATACAAAAATTAGCTGGGTGTGGTGGCGCCCACCTGTAATCCCAGCTATTCGGGACAGTGAGGCATGAGAATCGCTTGAACCCAGGAGGCGGAGGTTGCAGTGAGTCAAGATCGTGCCACTGCACTGCAGGCTGGGGACGAAAGCAAGCCTCCGTCTCAGAAAGAAAAAAAAAAACTTGCTGCTTTTTTTGCCCTGTTCAGTTCATGAATGAATTTTTAGTAACTTGTAAGCTATGGGTTGAAACTTTTAGGCAGCTAACCTAATTTGTAAATTCTGTCATCTACTCAGGTAAGAGAAATAGAATTTATATGTGAATACTTGAGTTTAAAGGCCAATAAGTAGTGATTGTTTTTCTAGTCTTGTCCTGTTCGTTCCATCCCATCCATTTTCTTCCTGCACACTGCACTACTATTAAATACCTCTTGCTAAAATTTGGCTTTTAACATGTTCAAGACTTACTTTTAATTTATTTGTTCACTTACTCATTCTGAAGATATTTAGTGCCTACTCTAATCTGGGCAGTGCTCAACTCTGAATTCTTCCAACCAGCTGTGCATGCTGCCATCCTCTCCCTTATGCAGCCTTAAGTTTGCCTGCCCACGGTTCCCATCTTTGCTTTATATTCCTGGTTTCACCATACTCTTCTGAAGTACCCATCCTTTCCTTCAAATACTTTTAGGAAAAAGGTCTAATAATAGAGATTTATAACATCATTGGATTTAAGTCATTGTTTTACCTCTCAAGAGGCATTTGCATTTTGACTTTTCCTATAAATGTGAATGAAAAAATATCTCTTTCAAAGAATTTAGAGCTTCCCTGTGCAAGTGTTGGAGGTCTCAGGGAGGAGAGTGCTCCCTACTGGTTCTTTTGAATCACACCAAATGAATGACTTGCTACTGTTCCCTCCCACCTTCATATTGTCCATGGTTTTTCCCACCTCCCTAGCTATACAGCTCCTGTTCCTCCGGCCTAAAATGTCTGACATTCCCTCAGTGTTCAGCTCAACCCACATCTTACATCTTCCCTAAGGATGTTTTTCTGTTTGCTATCATTCATTTTCCTCCTATGAGTTCCTCTATTATATTGAGTCACCATCACTGAGGTTGGCATTTCTTCATTCTTTGTTTCAATTGACTCATTTCCTTTCTCCCAACTTAGTGTCTTCTTCAAGAACACTGATCCTGTATTTCTGTTTTATATTTAAACAGTGCCTAGCAAAGAGACAGGAATGGCAGTCAATGAATACCCAAATAGAAATGAGAATATGCCTAGGCCCATATATATTTATGTATGTTTTATCTAGCAGCATTTTGCTAAATGAATTTATCCTTCATCAGAAGAAGAAAACATGTCATACTTAAGGACCATTATTAAAAATTCTTAAAATTAAAAAAATAGATCTGTCTGGGCACAGTGGCACATGCCTGTAATCTCATTAGTTTGGGAGGCTGAGGTGGGAGTTTAAGGCCAGCCTGGATAACACAGTAAGACCCCATCTCTAAACAAAAAAGAAATTAAAAATTAGCCAGTTATGGTGGCATGCACCTGTAGTCCCAGCAACTCAGGAGGCTGAGGCGTGGGAGGATGGTGTGAGCCCGGAAGTTCAAGGCCGTTGTGGTGAGCTAGGATCACTCCATGCACACCAGCCTTATGACAAAGCAAGACTCTGTCTCAAAAAAAAAAAAAAAAAAAAAGAAAACAACTTTTTTTTTCTATAAATGCTAATATCTGAAGAACATTTTGGTTTTTACTTCTTAACAGGTGGTTTGTTCTGGATGCAGAAACCAGAGATCTAGTTTCTATCCACACAGACGGGAATGAACAGCTCTCTGTGATGCGCTACTCAATAGGTAGGCAAATTTACTCCCACCTCCCAAGCCTGGCATTCACAGCACTTCACTGCAGTTGCATACTTTTACTTCTGATAAGGCTAACTACTTTTTTCTCTCGTTAGAGTTGTTAAGTATTAAATCTGTTTCCCCCAACATTAAATTAAATTCTGCTGCCAGAAACTGCAAAAGATCTGCTAAAGTTAAACAACATTCTGAATCATCAAATTTAAAATGGACTACTACAGCTGCATTTGCAATTGAAAGCAGAATGAAGTGCAGTCAAATCCCCTTTCTCCGGAACTACGCATACTTTAGAATTTTCAATAGGTATTAGGCTAAATGTCACATCTGGTTAGCAACCTTTTCTTTATTTATAAGAGAATGTAAAAGAAATTACAGAGAAATTAAAATACACAAATTGTATAGGCCCTTCAAGTCCTTTAGAATCTAGTGCATTGTTTTGGTTACATAGTAATGATAGGTTTGTTAATTAAATGCTCGGTTTGTTAATTAAATGCTCTGTAAGAATTTGATATATTCCTTTAGCCTACTTGAGAGTAATTATTTGTATTTTATTCACAATATTAAGTTTCTATGATAATACCCCAATTACCTTTTCCTGTTATTAATGTGGCTTTGATTCACACTATTCTTCCCTGGAGTTAGTCTGACATTTTCTTTATTTGAAAATATACGCCAATAGTTGTTGCATTAGCACAGGATCCAGAGAATCTTTTTGATTCCTGCTCAGTTGTTTCAAAGGAATCACAGAGTAGTATTCTTTAAATTGAACAAGGAAGGAAAAGTATGTACTTTATGAGCCTGAGAAGAGTCCTTTTGAAGCACAAAAATTTTAACATTTTTCTGGGGTTTGTTTTGTTATGTTTTTAGTGTTGTAGTAGCAAATAACCACTGCAAATATAGCTCTCGAACTCCAGAGATGACATGGACTTTATTGACCATTTGTTACGTGCTTAGCGCTGTGGTGGGTACAGGGAAGGACACCACAAAAGAAAGGAACATGGTCTCTTCCCAAGAGCACCTGCTCTGTAATTGGACAGATCATATATGCTAGCTGAACTAAGCAGCTGTCCGCTCAGCCTGCCATGTAAACCCTGTACCCTTCCACCCAAGAAGGCAGAATAACCTCTCTCGAGCTGTTTTTTAACTAGAAGATGAGGCCTAGAGTCCAAGGCCTGTAAGCATCTCCAAGAAGGGATTGTGTATTAGACTGGATGACCATTTATTTTTCAAATGTATTTAGTGGATAGGATTCATTCATCAGTTGCCAAATAACAGTTAAATTGATGAGATTTAACAGCATTTGTAAAATTTGTCATTTAGGGTAGATCCAGTAAAATAACAGTAAATAAATTTAGCAGTGTATTTCTCTAGTCAACACTGGCCTATTTCATTCTAGATGGTACCTTCCTGGCTGTAGGATCTCATGACAACTTTATTTACCTCTATGTAGTCTCTGAAAATGGAAGAAAATATAGCAGATATGGAAGGTGCACTGTAAGTAGTGAAGTAAAACAAGTTGTAAAATTATTGGGAAATTTTACTTCTGTTAAAAACAAATGTTTACATCGATGTATGTGTTGTTTCCTGTCATTAGCTGCTTTAATCTCTGTCTTCGAAAACTGGGACTGGTAATACCTGACAGCAGAACATTAGCGTTCCCTGTGTGCTCTAAAAAGACATCTCCTTTTGATGGGGGTGTAATATTTGTCACTCTTTGACTAGTTTTAAGACAGTTTCTTAAAGCTATTTCCATAGGAAACCTTTAGAATAACACTTTTTGAAAACTGAATGAGTCAGAAATAAAAGAACATCTCATGTTTAATCTTAACTCCTATGATTCTGTCCCCTTCAACACCCTACAACATTATGTATCACTTCTCTTCCACTAAAAATAAAAGAATGTACATGGATATTTGTCTGCATTTAAGAGAGTTAACAGAAGGATGTTTCCTGTAATTTGTTGCCCACTTCTGCCTTCATTGGGCTGAAAGAATTAGACATAGCATGTTTCTAAATAAAAAACCTGATAAAGATATGTTTTCTACAAACTAGCCTCTAAATTTGATATGATCTTTAGATTTTCACCATATTTATGGGATTAATAAAATAGTTCTAGTTCATGTGAAATTTTCCACGTATCACAGAACTATCAATGGTTGGGAATAAGCAGATAGACTGATGAAACAAAAGCATCCAGAAACAGATTTATGTTTTTGTGGAAGTTTACTAAGTAATAAAAGGGGTATTTCAAATTAGTAGAGAAAGAATAGACTTCTCTACCTGTATTTTCCAATATGGCAATTACTAGCCACAACTTGCTGTTCATACCATTAAATGCAATGAGAGTGCAGCAACATTTCAATTACTTAGAAACCACAGGGGATTAGTTGCTACTGCATTGGACTGCACTGATACAGATATTTTTTTGTCACTGCGGAAAGTTCGACTGAACAGCATAACTCTAGATGGACAAAAGCTAGGTCCTAAATCGAGACCTTGGTTGCTTAGTTGGTTGTTTTTTAACTCCCCAGGTAATCTTAAACCAGTTGCAAACCACTGATTCAGGTGATAATCATCATGCAGTTGACAAAGATTTAACTCACGTATTTCTGAATTTTTTCTTCATAGCCATATTCTTTCACTTTGTCACTTGGGATTATTTTTGTGGTAACGCCATATGGCTACTTAATGACAATAATGAAAGGGCCAGCTTAGACTACTTGTTTGTCTTCAAGGAGATATACTAGAATTTGCTCTTGTGTTTGTGCCCATGGAGTAAAGTTTGAGGCTGTTTTTCTAAGCTGTGCATATACTTTGCATTAGCCTGTGAGTTGGGTAGAGGAAGGACACTGAGGTGATTTGTGGGGAGGGTAACATAGACCCCAGCAGCTGCATTTCATCTTTTCTTTGCTTATTTATTGGAATCGATGCCAGGCAGAAAATACTCTCTTTTCTAAATATGAGTTAATAACTTTCCTAAGATCTTTTCTAAATTTGGGGACTTCTCCTACTCAAGACTCCTTTTGAGAATACTTTTATGTTGATTTACCTTCTGAAAATAATCTGTGTCCAACACAGATGTTTTTTGCATGAATATCATGTATATATACAATGCTTTTGATGCTCTTTTAATTAATGGTATTGAAAGCTTTGCACAAAGATGCAGATAGTATTTTTAAATACTGTTACATTAGGGTGAAATTCTCAGAGGCCTGTACTTTGCCATGACCAGTCTTGTTAAATCTTCATCCATGTAGCAAGTTTTAATTTTAGAAGCATGGCTTCCCCAGACGCCAGAGCCAGCCATCAGGCTCATCAGGCTCATGTGCACTGTGAAAAGGATGTATGAACCCTGCCATACTCAGAAAATAGCAAACATCCATGTGCATCTTGCTGTCTATGAAAACTGATTTCTTAAGTTAGTAGGTCCCCTGTATGCCTAGCAAGTGATTCCCAACCTGTTTTCCAATATACTGCTTAATTTCTAGTGATTTCAGAAAGCTTCACTTCTCAGATTCATATAATTTAAATTTGTTTAAATATGTTTATTTCCCATACAGCACTATGGTGGAGATTATGGTTCCACAAAGGTTTGGGGACACATTGGTAGACTTCAGAAGGATACTAAAAGAATTAAGAGTCATTGCTCTAATATAAATCATTAAAAACTATCCCTAAGGTACACTGAATTTGTTAACTTAAAAAATAAAATCTTGGCTGGGTGCAGCGGTTCACTATAACCCCAGCACTTTGGGAGGCTGGGGCAAGTGGATAGCTTCAGGTCAAGAATTCAAGACCAGCCTGGCTAATGTGTTGAAACCCCGTCTATACCAAAAAAATACAAAAATTAGCCAGGTGTGGTGGTGCGTGCCTATAGTCCCAGCTACTTGGGAGGCTGAGGTGGGAGGATCACTTGAACCCAGGAGGCGGAGGTTGCAGTGAGCCAAGATTATGCCACTGCACTCCATCCAGCCTGAGTGAACGAGTGAGACCCTGTCTCAATTAAAAAAGAAAAAAAGAAAAAAATCTTAGAGGAAGAAAAGAATAGGTGAAAAAAAATAAAATAAGGCTTGGTGCCATGGCTCACACCTGTAATCCCAGCACTTTGGGAGGCTGAGGTGGGCAGATGACTTGAGGCCAGGAGTTTGAGACCAACCTGGCCAACAGAGTGAAACCCCGTCTCTACTAAAAATAGAAAAAATTAGCTGGGATGGTGGTGCATACCTGTAATTCCAGCTACTCAGGAGGCTGAGGCATGAGAATCGTTCGAACCCAGGAGGTAGAGGTTGCAGTGAGCTGAGATTGCGCCACTGCTCTCCAGACTGGGTGACAGAGTGAGACTCTATCTCAAAATAAAAAGAAGAAAATCATGTGACCAGAAAGCTAGTAATTGAATGGATACAGTGGCTAATGCCAGTAGTCCCAGCACTTTGGGAGGCTGAGGCTGGAGGATCACTTGAGCCCAGGAGTTCGAGACCAGCCTCAGCAATGTGGTGAAACCCTGTCTCTGCAGAAAATACAAAAATTAGCCGGGAGTGATGGCATGTGCCTATAGTCCCAGCAATCCAGGAGGCTGAGAAGTGGAAGGATCACTTGAGCCCAGGGAGGTCAAGGCTGCAGTGAGCCGTGATAGCGCCATTATACTCCAGCCTTGGCAACAGAGTGAGACCCTGTCTCAAAACAATAAAGTTAGTAATTGAAAAAGCACAGTAGAAATTAAATGTGTTTCACCCCAGACTGTAGGAGGTAAAAGTAAATACAGGTCTCTGTCAGCTTTGGTGAACCATAAGATCTGGTAATTTATCTGAAATAGTTTATTGGAAATACATAAGTGCTTATATGGGAAGCCAACAAAAATTAGTGTTTCGTAGTTTTTTTGTTTTAACTCCCACAGTGTTAAAACCTAAGCAGAAAAAGATCATTGTTTCCTGCTTAAGGAATGTTCTAAGGAATCAGATGATTATATTGAGTCCTACTGTTCTGATGGAGTACAGCGTTGAATGAATTTTCCCCCAAAACATTCTTTGGAGATAGTTTCTCTAGGATACCTCCATAGACCATATATGGGCGCTGTATTCCTCAGCTTCTGAGTTGTACCATGGAGAGTTAAGAAGTAGCCCAGGTAGACTGTATTCCTTATGCACAACTTACAACCAACACTTCATTCTCAAAAATGGAGTCACTCTCATGAGGACACCAGTGACGTGAAATAAGGCCAGAGGGTATGATACGTGTTGTAGTGTCCTGTAAGATACAAGTTTAAGAGACTGTCTTTCTTGGAAGTGTCTGATACACGTAGTAGGTACTAGTTTCTGGTATCCAGATAGGCCAGAAAGTTTCTCCCAAGTATCCAGTGCTAAGGATCTGCTGTGAGCCTGCTCAGTTCTGGAGGGTGTAACACTGCTTCCTCTCCTTTGGAAATTCCAACAAATGTGTATTCAGAAAGCAGTATTGGCTAGCTGTTAAAACTGTTTATCATTCAGAACTCTAAATGCTTTCTAACAGTGTATCTGTTATTTTCTAGGGACATTCCAGCTACATCACACACCTTGACTGGTCCCCAGACAACAAGTATATAATGTCTAACTCGGGAGACTATGAAATATTGTACTGTAAGTATGAATGATCAGATATATATGGGCTGAGACGTGTCTGACAGGGGTGCTAATGAACAGGCTGCATGGAATCGGAATTGTGCGGAGAATGCTTGCCAGACTCTTTAACCTGACAAACCATATGTTACACTGAGCTAAAGTAATGAGAATCTCAAATGTGGTTCACTTCTCCAAGAGTAATGAATTAATGTAATAGTGTAGAACGGAAGGCACATGTAGTAATAAGAAATTACTCTGTCAGATTGATGCTGCTCTGAATGGTTTTTCATTTACTACTTCTCCTGGAGGTAGGGAGGAATATAATGGATGGGCATTTATGCTTTTTAGAGAGAAAAAAAAAACTTCCCATGGGAAACAGTTTGTGGTTTTATAAACCCTGTTAAAGTGAACACTTTCTTTTCCTTTTTAAATGTGTCTTAATGTTTTTCAGTGTATGGATTATAAATACAAGTAAACGTGGCTAGTTTGAATCAAGATGCACTTTCACATACATTTGTACACAAGCACTATGATTATACTTCCTGTTTCTAAATTTAAAGGGGACATTCCAAATGGCTGCAAACTAATCAGGAATCGATCGGATTGTAAGGACATTGATTGGACGACATATACCTGTGTGCTAGGATTTCAAGTCTTTGGTAAGGACATGCATGACACCTGATGTAAAGAAGTGGCTTGTGGGTTTTTCATATGTAATATTTACTTGCTTAAATTTATAAATGAAAAACAGTCTGTGTGTTCTTTAGCTTTATCACTATTAATGTCAGCCTCAGAGAAATAAAATGTGTTAGAATTGAACAAACATGGGATTTGTATTTTGCAGAATCCAGCACTTTTGGTCCTCAATATGAAAGACAAGGAATTCACATAGTAGTACAGATTACCTTCCCGTTTTTCTTTAAGTGAAAATTGAAGTTATTAAATTTGGAAAGGCATTTTTAAGTAGCTTGAGATACATACCATACAGTTCACCTATTTAGAGTATAAAATTCAGGCTGGGTGTGGTGGCTCACACCTGTAATCCCAGCACTTTGGGAGGCCGAGGTGGGCAAATCACCTGAGTTCAGGAGTTCGAAACCAGCCTGGTCAACATGGTGAAACCCTGTCTCTGCTAAAAATGCAAAAATTAGCTGGGCATGGTGGTGTGCACCTGTAATCCCAGCTACATGGGAGACTGAGGCAGGAGAATCGCTTGAACCTGGGGGGCAGAGGTTGCAGTGAGCTGAGACTGTGCCACTGCACCCCAGCCAGGGTGACAGATTGAGACTCCATCTCATAAATAAAGTGTAAAATTCAGTGGTTTTTGTATACTTAGTTGTGTGACCATCAAGGTCTAATTTTATAACATTTTCATTATCCCACAAAGAAACCCTGTACCCATTAACAGTTACCCCATCTCTCTTATCCTCTGCCCCACCCCCCAGCAACTACTAATCTGTTTTATTGATTTGCCTATTCTGTATAGTATATAAGGGGAATCATACAATATGTGATGCACTGAGACTAGCTTCTGTGATTTAGCATAACATTTTCAAGGTTTATCCGTGTTACAGCATGCATCAGTACTTTACTCTTTTTTATGGCTAAGTAATATCCCATTCTGTGGATAGACCACATTTTGTTAATTCATTCATCTGTTGATGGACCTTGGGTTGTTCCTACTTTTTGGCTATTATGAATACCACTGCCATGAACAGTCATGTGCAGGTTTTTGTGTAGACATGTTTTCATTTTTCTTGGGTATTTACCTAGGAGTAGAATTGCTGAGTCAAATGGTAACTGTATGTTTACTCTTTTGAGCAACTGCCAGACTGTTTTCCACAGTGACTACATTTACATTTCCACCAGCAGTGTATGAGGGTTCCAGTTTCTCCATGTCCTTGTCAGTGTATATTATTATTCTTTTGCATGTGGATGTCTAGTTGCCTTACACCACTTGTTGAAATACAAAGGCATTTTTAGTAGAATTATATAAAGATAACTATGTGGGACTTCTTCCTAATCTGACGTTTTGTAAATTTCTGGAAATCTGACCTCTATGACTGTTTTCTAAGCCTTCCTCAGTATTTAGGTATCCTTCTGAAAGGGTTAGAAGATAGATGGAAAAATTAAAATAATAAAGCATTATTTACAAAGAATTAAAAAGAAGTGTTATGCTCAGGTTATTAAAACACTGGATATGGATGTGGCACCAATACCTAAAGCAATGCACAAAAATTAATATTTTCTCTAACAATATATCTCTGCCTTCTGAGAATTGAGTTCTCCAGCCTGATCATAGATCTGAACATTTCTTTATGCTATGTGCATTAGAAAAATAATCCATTATAGGTGATTGTTCGAAACACAAGTGCTGTCAAGACAGAGAAGCCTAATAGGCCAGGAAGAAATTAAACACAAAATAATTCTGTCCATAAACAATTTCATTATTGTAGGTGAAAATGAAGCAGTGACCCACAGCTGATAGCTTCTGTGGTTATTTAATGAAGACATTATTAAATTATTAAGAGAGACCAATTTTAAAGTATTTTGACTTGTTTTTAGCAAATTTACCAAAAACATATTTGTTCTCTGGAGTAGCATTCAACCACAAGTGGCTAACATCTCAACCCTTAAATGTTCCATACTTTCAATCTAGCCTAATAGAGGTCTGTGAAAATTATGTTCAACGTGATCATTAGTGCTGCATAATGATTCAGAATAATTAAATTTGGTGTGTCTTATTTTGGGACATAATCTTTCCAGGAAAATTCTATGGGATAGCATGCTAAACTAGTGGATGGCTTATGCTTTCTATAAGAAATAATCTCTCTGAGGTTTTCTTTGAGGTGCCTCCCTGAAAGAAAACCTAGACTACACTTTGAAGACTTGGTGTTATGGCTTTGTTTTTGAACCTTGTCTATACAAGTAACTGATTCCCTCCATCCAGAAGCTTTAAAAAGGAAGAGCTTATTGCTGAGGTGTAAGTCAAGCTGAAAGTAAAATAAATTATTAGCACCACCTGCTGGTTACTATTGAGCACCATTGAGTTTTCCATTTTAGGGCTATTTTGATTTTTTATTAGTTAGATTTTGGACAGGACTTCATTTGAATGAAGAACAGTGTGAGCCACTGAGAAATTTGTAAAGGAAATGTTAACAGCTAAGAGTTTGAACACAGATAAAAGCTAAACAGATTCTAAAAATAAACATATGTAGCGTCACAGTTATACTTCTTCGGCTAATTTTTCTGCATCCCTGTGTTTCCATATCAAAGGTGTCTGGCCAGAAGGATCTGATGGGACAGATATCAATGCCCTGGTGCGATCCCACAATAGAAAGGTGATAGCTGTTGCCGATGACTTTTGTAAAGTCCATCTGTTTCAGTATCCCTGCTCCAAAGCAAAGGTAAACTCACTTTAATAGAAACTAATGTTATAAGGCCTTCTGTCCAGGGATGGTTCTCCATCAATGGCAAGAAAATATTTGTAGGTTACCGATTCCTCTCCATGCTACTCCAGCGCACAGAGGGAGATAAGGGCCATCGGTGAGCATCCAGCCAGGCAGTGCTTGTCTTCTCCCCTTTCCTAAGGCTAAGGAGAGGCGAGCTGTGGAAATGACGACTGATGATGGATTATTCGTGTTTGTTTATCGTCCGGTTGCTTTTTGATTTGTTGGCAATTTAAAACCTCTCTAAATATTTTAAAGTATTTTATTTGTTGGACACATATTCAACATTATAAAACTAATGGAACTGTTTCCCAAATCTCCTGTAATCCTGCCAACACAGTAAGTGTTCCCCTAACCATTTCAGAAGAATAATTACTAAGCTCTGGCAAGTATACTACCAACATCTAGAAGAGACAGGCTTTTAGCTATTTTTTTTTAAACATATAGTGTGAAAATACAGAGATGTCAAATTCTTCTGTTTTGTTTCTCCTATGTAAAGTAGTAATGAAATAACGGCTAGTCTTACTCCTGAGATTCGATGACTTCTGGCTTTAAATTGGATTGCCCATTTCACAAGCTGAGTTTACCCCCCTTAAGTATCACCTCCGTTCCTGAAACAGGCTTGTCAAGAACGAGTTGAATTTTCCTGTCTGTCTGATTTATTTCATATAGGCTCCCAGCCACAAGTACAGTGCCCACAGCAGCCATGTCACCAACGTCAGTTTTACACACAACGACAGTCACCTGATATCAACTGGTGGAAAAGACATGAGCATCATTCAGTGGAAACTTGTGGAAAAGTTATCTTTGCCTCAGAATGAGACTGTAGCGGATACTACTCTAACCAAAGCCCCCGTCTCTTCCACTGAAAGTGTCATCCAATCTGATACTCCCACACCGCCTCCTTCTCAGTCCTTAAATGAGACAGCTGAAGAGGAAAGTAGAATAAGCAGTTCTCCCACACTTCTGGAGAACAGCCTGGAACAAACTGTGGAGCCAAGCGAAGACCACAGCGAGGAGGAGAGTGAAGGGGGCAGCGGAGACCTTGGTGAGCCTCTTTATGAAGAGCCATCCAATGAGATAAGCAAGCAGGGCGAAGCCACCCTTCCAGAGGACCAGCAAGACCCTTTGCCCTCGTCCTAACACCCTGGCTTCAGTGCTACTCTTTTCCTTCAGCTGCATGTGATTTTGTGATAAAGTTCAGATAACAGGATGGGCAGTGATGGAGAATCACTGTTGATTGAGATTTTGGTTTCCATGTGATTTGTTTTCTTCAATATAGTCTTATTTTCAGTCTCTCAAATGCAGCCAACTTAAAGGTTTAGTTTGGTGTTTATTGAAAATTAACCAAACTTAATATTAGGAGAAGACTGAAACGATGATGATGTCTCACAAATTACTGTGTACGTAAGTGGTGTGATGTAAATACTGGAAACAAAAACAGCAGTTGCATTGATTTTGAAAACAAACCCCCTTGTTATCTGAACGTTTTCTTCAGGAACAACCAGAGGCATCACAAACACTGTTACTCATCTACTGGCTCAGACTGTACTACTTTTTTCCCCCTGAAAAAGAAACCAGAAAAAAAAAGTACTCTTACTAAGATACCCTCTCACCCCAAATGTGTAATGGAAATTTTTTAATTAAGAAAAACTTCAGTTTTGCCAAGTGCAATGGTGTTGCCTTCTTAAAAAAATGCCGTTTTCTTACACTACCAGTGGATGTCCAGACATGCTCTTAGTCTACTAGAGAGGTGCTGCCTTTCCTCAGTCATAATGAGGAACGGTCCCTTAATTTCTTGTGTGCAAATCTGTTTTATCCTAGAACTAAGAGAGCATTGGTTTGTTAAAGAGCTTTCAATGTATATTAAAACCTTCAATACTCAGAAATGATGGATTCCTCCAAGGAGTCCTTTACTAGCCTAAACATTCTCAAATGTTTGAGATTCAAGTGAATGGAAGGAAAACCACATGCCTTTAAAACTAAACTGTAATAATTACCTGGCTAATTTCAGCTAAGCCTTCATCATACTTTGTTCCCTCAATAATAGGAGAAATATAAATACAGTAAGTTTAGATTATTGGTGCTTGAAATTTATTGGTTTTGTTGTAATTTTTATACAAATTATATGAGGGATAAGATATTCAGCAAATTGCAAATTCTTTTTTTTACAGAAATGTGGATAACAGTCAGCAGTTTTTTTTTTTTTTTTTTTACCAACAGCATACTTAACAGATTTGCTGTGTAGCAATTTTTTTTCTGGTGGAGTTGCTATAAGTCTTGTAAGTCTAACGTGGCTATCCTACTATTTTGGGCAATGCATGTATTATGCATTGGAAAGGTTTTTTTTTTTTTTTTTAAGTTCTGTTGGCTAGCTATGGTTTTCAGTACATGTTTCCTATTGTAAGAGTAATTGCTGACAAACATGTATTTCCTATATATTTGTTGATACTTTGATTATAAAAAAGTGTTTTGATTTTTTAACTTGCTGCATTGTTTTGATACTTTTTATTTTTTTGGTCAAATCATGTTTAGAAACTTTGGATGAGTTAAGAAGTCTTAAGTATGCAGGCGTTTACGTGATTGTGCCATTCCAAAGTGCATCAGAACTGTCATTCCCTTCTAATATCTTCTCAGGAGTAATACAAATCAGGTATTTCATCATCATTTGGTAATATGAAAACTCCAGTGAACTCCCAAGGACATTTACATTTATATTCACACGCTGTATGGAAGGGTGTGGGCGTGTGTGAAGGGGCGAGTGGAGACACTGTGTGTATCTCTAGATAAGAAGATATGCACCACGTTGAAAATACTCAGTGTAGATCTCTATGTGTATAGGTATCTGTATATCTTTCCTTTTGTTTACAACTGTTAAAAAACCTCAAAATAGTTCTCTTCAAAAGAAGAGAGATTCCAAGCAACCCATCTTTTTTCAGTATGTTCTGTACATAGTTATCAGAGCACGCCAGTAAGTATCAGGCATATATATCTGCCTATTAGCAGTGATGATTACACCATCAGATCAGCATGTGCTATACTCCCTGCAAGAAATATACTGACATGAACAGGCAGTTCTTGGAGAAGAAAGAGCATTTCTTTAGGTACCTGGGGAATACAGCTCTCAGTGATCTGCAGGGAGTTTCTTTGAGAACATCAGTCACCTTTGGGGTTGCCGTGTACAATGAGATTTATAATCATGATACTCTTCGGTGGTAGTTTCAAAAGACACTACTAATACGCAGGAAGCGTTCCAGCTATTTAATGCTGGCAACTACTGTTTAATGGTCAGTTAAATCTGTGATAATGGTTGGAAGTGGGTGGGGTTATGAAATTGTAGATGTTTTTAGAAAAACTTGTGAATGAAAATGAATCCAAGTGTTTCATGTGAAGAAGTTGAGCCATTGCTATCATGCATTCCTGTCTCATGGCAGAAGATTTTGAAGATTAAAAAATAAAATAATCAAAATGTTTCCTCTTTCTAAGTGCGTCTTAACTCTTTCTTCATTTATACTGCTAGTTTCCATGACTATCCAGTTATCAGAAGGCAGGACAATTCAGAAGACAATATTTATCAGTGGGCTACTGCTGCTGCTGTGGATGAAATCATTCTGGTAGTAGTAAACTCCCATCTCATAATGTTAGAGGAAATTACTTCTGATTTATGTTCCTATTGAATATGGGGATAGCTTTGTTTTCATTTATTTCATGTCAACACTTTCTCTCATGTTTAATATTGGATAATCCTGATGATCTTGGTTACCCGTTCAACGAGGCTGCCTTGCAGTGTTAGCCTTTGTGAAGTACTTGAACTCAGTAGGCCATGGCATTCTCTGCTTTCTCCCATCTCTCCCATATTGCTTAGTAACGCAGATCTTCTGTATACCACAGTCACAAATTGGCCACTACAAATTTTTCTTTATGAAGAATAGGTTGATAGTATTCCAAACATTCCCCAGTTTTACAATCATAGACATGATGAGGTTTTCATTATTGCCTTACTTGCCCCTGGTTGACTGAATATCCACAGCCACTTACATATACTAACCCACGAGAGGCTATCCTGGGATAGGAGTTCCATTTTCACTGATTCTGAGACAGAATGGCTGGTGGGCACCAAAACAAACCCACTCAACAATGTGATTTTTCTTTAAAAGTAAGAAAATCCAAAACTTACCTATGGAGAAATGATGAATTAGATTTTGGGCACAGTGAGGTATTGTATCAGTGTAACTTCTAGAAGCTTAAAGCTGGAAATAAAGGACAAAGGACAAGTACATGTTTTTAGGACCAAGAAGGCTGAAGAGCAGATGGGCAGGATATGGACCAAGAAGAGCTGCTTCTGGAGGAACACCTACTGTGGACCCAACATCCCCCAACACCCAGGTGCTCAGGGATACAGGGGAGGTGACTATAGATGAGGAAATTAGTTTGGGAGGTTTAGTAACCAGCCCATGTTCGTTTAGATCATAGCCATGCTGAGACTTTGTGTTCTAGAACTTCAAAATCTGTACTTCCTCCACCAAGTAGGAGAAAGACATTCGTTAGACACAGAAGGAAAGGACCAGGGTAGATTCATAGACTTTGGAAAGGAGATGAGGGAAACAGAAGAGAGTCTGTGTCAGTCTCGGTCCTCAGTCTGGGAGCAGGTGAGTCCACAGCACAGCAATGCTGCACATCTGCATCACCAGCACTGCCGCCCACCGTGCTGGAAAAGTCCCTTTGTCAAAGATGCCCACGACCGGAGTCTCCAGCAGCCACAGAAACAGAATGGTCTGTAGGTATGTTTCCCAAACAAAAAACAGGTGCATCTCCTTGTGAAGGGGCAGCTCCTCTCCTCACAGGGACTCATGTAATGTTAGTCATTTTGTGGTGATTGGTTCACCTTTCCAAAAGAAACTTGAATTTCTGCTCTACCTTCCCTTCATTAATAGATCCTGATAATAGCCTTAAAAGCTTTGATGTAAAGAAGACATTTCCAGCTAGGCGCAGTAGCTGACACCTGTAATCCCAGCACTTTGGGAGGCTGAGGCAGGTGGATCACTGGAGCCCAGGAGTTCAAGACCAGCCTGGGCAACATGGTGAAACCTCGTCTCTACCAAAAACACACACACACACACAAAAAAAAATTCCAGGTGTGGTGTGCACCTGTAGTCCCAGTTACTAGGGAGGCTGAGGTGGGAAAATCGCTTGAACCCAGGAGGTGAGGTTGCAGTGAGTAGAGATCGTGCCACTGCACTCCAGCCTGGGCAACAGAGGAGACACTATCTCAAAAATAAAACATTTCCTAGACAAAGGAAAAGGAAGAACAAATAGAAAAGTTTGTCTCCTGGGAAGGTCAGCCTGTTTCATTTCTTTATCCACTATCTCTTCATGGGTGATATCCTCAGGAGACCATGGCTTACTGAACTGACCACTTGAGAGGGAGTCTCGCTCTGTCGCCCAGGCTGGAGTACAATGGCCGGATCTCAGCTCACTGCAAGCTCCGCCTCCCGGGTTTTCGCCATTCTCCTGCCTCAGCCTCCCGAGTAGCTGGGACTACAGGCGCCGCCACCACGCCCGGCTAGTTTTTTGTACTTTTTTTAGTAGAGACGGGGTTTCACCACGTTAGCCAGGATGGTCTCGATCTCCTGACCTCGTGATCCGCCCGTCTCGGCCTCCCAAAGTGCTGGGATTACAGGCTTGAGCCACCGCGCCCGGCCTGAACTGACCACTTTTAAAGAATTTGCCAATCCAAACAGGACCACATTCATTACTAGATGCTGATGTATGCTTTTATTTTTATTTATTTATTTAGAGACAGAGTCTCGCTCTGTTGTCCAGGCTGGAGTGCAATGACACAATTTTAGCTCATTGCAACGTCTGCCTCCTGGGTTCAAGTAATTCTCCTGCCTCAGCCTCCCAAGTAGCTAGCTGGGATTACGGCTGTGCGCCACCATGCCCGACTAATTTTATTTGTATTTTTAGTAGAGAGAGGGTTTCACTTTATTGGCCAAGCTAGTCTTGAACTCCCAACCTCAGGTGATCCGCCTGCCTCGGCCTCTCAAAGTGCTGGATTACGGGTGTGAGCCACCGCTCCAGGCCTGATGTACGCTCTTAAAGGTCAAACAGTTGTTCCCACATCCTCTCCCCTGCATATGACAAAGCATCAGTATTTAAACATCCACCATGAGCCTTGTTGGATTCTGATTCAAACGAATGGTAGAAAACATTAAGACAATTGGGGCATTGTGACGACTAGATATTTCATAAGCAATTATTTTAATTTTTAAAGTGTGATAATAGGCCAGGCGCGGTGGCTCATGCCTGTAATCTCAGCAACTTGGGAGACAGAGGCAGGCAGATCACTTGACATCAGGAGTTCCAGACCAGCCTGGCCAAAATGGTGAAACCTCATCTCTACTAAAAATACAAAAATTAGCTAGACCTCATGGCGCACACCTGTAGTCCCAGCTACTTGGGAGGCTGAGGCATGAGAATTGCTTGAACCTGGGAGGCGGGAGGTTGCAGTGAACTGAGATCACGCCACTGCACATGAGCCTGGGCAACACAGCGAGACTGTGTCTCAAAAAAAAAATAAGTAAAAAAATTTAAAATGTGATAATAGAATGCAGTTTTGTTTTGTTTTGTTTTGTTTGTATTTTTAGTAGAGATGGGGTTTCACTGTGTTAGTCAGGATGGTCTCGATCTGACCTCGTGATCCGCCCGCCTCGGCCTCCCAAAGTGCTGGGATTACAGGCGTGAGCCACTGCACCTGGCCAGAATGCAGTTTTTCAAAAAGCATCCTTAACTTGAAAATAAACAACTTAACAATTCAGAAATCTGGTAGAAAACCTATAGGGCACCACTTCTATGTCTCAAAGGACAAAAACATGAAGAAGTAGGCTGAAATAAAAGCAAGGTGCTCAATGATTAAAATATGGTCCAGCCCCATGACTAAATGCTATTCAATGAAAATAGTTAACACTTCATGTGTTTAACATGTATTAACTCAATCTTTTCAAAATACTAAATTCCATTATCTCCATTTCACAGATGAAGAAACTTGAGGTACAGAGAAGCCGATTGGCTGAGCTATGAGTTGAAGCCAGGTACTCCCACCTCCAGAGTCCGCGCAGCCAGCTGCCATGCTCATCTGCTGTAGGTTATATGCACTGTAAAATAACAATGGTTGTTAGTAAGAATGAAATCGGTTAAACTTCCAATAGAAGAATTTAAGACTGGCAGAAGAGAAGGTGATGATGAGGCTTTGGACTCTGAATCGTGTCAGAGTTGAAGGGGGGCTTATGCACAAATCCTTCCCTGCTATCCCTACAACCATAGCATGGGGCAGAGGAGCCGCCAGGCTGGTTCACTGTGGCACCTGCTGCCAGCAAATGCCTGCTCTTCTTGCCTTCTCTGACCTTGGGCACACAAGTCCTTACTCCCCAATGTTCAATTTAAACCTACTGGTGTGAAGACACCACTACCTTATTTTCCAGGCTTTGGGCAATTTCCATTTCACTGAGCTCAGCGTGGCAGCTTCTCTCCATCATTGGCCAAGTGCTTTTTCCACTTCGTCCTCGTTCCCCATCGCTCACTTGCAAGTGTTGGGAGGTTGGGCCAACTCCATGCTCAGCCATAGAACTTTGATCTTCCGTCTCTTCTCCCTTTTAGCAACATAATCCTGTAGGCCTGAAAATAGATTTTCCTGAGGAGCCATCCACTGACAAATGAATATGGACCACTGCTGATGATGACTATCTCAGTGGGATTCAACAAAATCGATTCCAGAGGCCGACATCGACTCCTGACAGGGTGTCCTTTCATCAGATCTCACTGAAAGCACTGAGAAGAAAGTGAGTGCCCGACGAAAGGGAAAGGGCCTCAGGGAGGAAAAGGAATTTCCTAATATGCAAAGCCTGGTCATCCCATCCCATGCTTGACTGATCACAGTAACCAAGCCCTTGTGCCTCCTAGGAAAGATCACAGGAGACTCCGGAGCCTGCCACTGTCAACAGTGATGCCCGTTTGGCCGACACTGGGTTGGAATGACTTGATAACCTGGTTAGAAGCAGGGAAACCAGAAGCTGGAGCCGTCACCGTAGAGCTCTGTTTCAATTGACAAATGTAAGTCAGATGCCTTACAGCAGCTCCTCTTCTACAGAATTTAGTCTCTCTGCAAGAAACACGCATTGTGTTGCTACCACCTTCAAAGTGGCAGCCAGTGTGAATCCTGGGGAGTTTGTGTGGAACTGAGGATCTAAAGGAGGCACCCATTCATCAGATATATATATTAAGAACCTGCCTAGGGCAAGGAACTGTGTGGGGCTCAGCAAGGAATCCCAAAATGAGAAAGAGTAGCCCCTGCCCTCATGGAGCATACACTCTAGAAAGGTTGTAAAAACAAACTTTGTATATTTTGGAACTGGTTTAGAGCAAAGTCACGTTCCCTCAAAATTAGAAAATTGTAACTAGATGCTATAATGTATAATGGAAAATGTAC